CTGAATTATAATGATACCATTTATATGGACTGTATTATTAATAGGCCTTTGTGCATTGAAAGAGTCAGCCAGTATTTAATATGCCCTGGGCTCATGTTAGCTCATAGTAGATAAGTCTATACCCAAAACACCAACTTCACCTTACTTACTGAATTCTCATATGCAACATTTCACAATTTCCAACAAATTATTTTATAAATAGGAATATGATTAACTCCTTGAAAGCTATTTTTGTCATTATTGAAGTAATTAAGATTTGATCACCACTTTATTTTTGTCAGTACATCTGCTCTTTGGCAAATGAAGTATCAGATGGTCTTTACTGAGCAACTGTTAGATGTATCTGTGGTGTGAATGAACAAAAGGCCTGTATCTAGCTCTCTTTTCACTCCCAACCAAGGGTTTGATTTAGTTTGTGAAAAATAATTTTTAGAAGTTCTTGCTTTGAGGAATTTTATTATAAAAAGTTACTACACATATACTGAAACTAATATGAACTTAAAATTTGTTTATTTACTTCGTTTTTATGCTCAATCTCCTGGTTAAAGTTTAGTTTTGTTGATTTTGGCTGCTAGATAAGGGCACCCTCCTTTATCTCACTCTTTATTCTCACTAACAGCAAAAAGCAGCATCTCTATCAAAATCCATGATGGAGGTACAGAAACCAGTAGATTTCTTAAAAGGGAATTGAAATATATATATATATATATATGTACAAATATTTTATTAAAAATGAAATTCTCCAATGATGCAGAAAAACATATCCTCAAGTTATTGCAGTCCATTAAAAAAAACAGCATTTGGATCTGGATGTAGCTCAGTGGTAGAGCACCTACCTAGCCCTGGGTTGGATCCCTAGCAGCACAAAAACAACGAAAGAACCAAAACAGCATTTAGCAGTCTGTGCTGTCTTAAAAACCCTAACTCTGTACATTCCTAGAAAAATACCCTCCCTCTCATGAAAACAAATGAAAAACCCTCTTCCTGCCCTACGTTCAACTTCTACTACTTATTTCAACAGATACCTAGAGAACAGGACAAAGACCCAGCTGCTTCTCCTACCTTGCCTGTCCAAAGGTTTACACAGTTCCCTCTGCCACAGTCCTGTAGTATATCCCCAATGTCCAGAAAAACATCCTCACCTTCCTCTAGGGAGGGGCCCAAGGGTACCTTGAAAGTTCAAGGGGACCTTTCTACACAACAATACCCTACACCCTAGAACCTAGAAAATCAAACCTATAACTACTTGATGGGTCAAACAGGTGCAAATTCCACTTGCCCCGCCCCTTACCACAAGTGAGAACCAAGTGAATATTTGAATTCATCTCTCTTTCAAGAAGTATGTGGATTTTCTGCCAAGCCACCTGTGCCTTGGTTGGAAAACTCATCTTATGTTGCCTGGAGGAAGAGCTCACACACAAAGACAGCCAAAGGAACCTGCTATTACTGACTGGACAAAGCTGTGGTCCTCCCAGAGAAGCCTCCAGAAGCTTCTCTCCTTACACACAGTACCTAAGAAATTTAAACGACTTCATAACTAACATATAGTTCAATAGCAACTCCTCGAAACGGCCCCTGCCCTCACTGCAGTCACATCTCCTTCCAGTCATAGGCTTTTTGCCAGACTTCTACAGCAGTTGGTTGGCTTTAGAAAAATGTCTGCATCCAAAGAACCCTCTGTACACAGACAACAGGGAGAGGTGAGAAGTCTGCAAGGCATTATGCCCCTTCCTATCCATGGCACTACACCTCTTCTGACTATAAGAGCTCCAGAGCACGAAGACAAAGCCATTTAAGTTCTGATTCAGCCAGGACACAACTGTGTTAGTAAACTGCTCCCAATGTCTCTCCTTTATGAGAGTTGGCTCAATGGGCTATGACAGTGGGGACAGTGTTAAGGAGAAGTACAACTTGCTTGACCCACCCAGACCAATCTCTATGGCCAGAATGGCCAGAACAAAACCATCCATATCTGTAGACAACTCTTTATAAATGCTTTCCAAACTAGTCAGAGGGAGAACAGGTCTTTGGACCCTAAAGCAGAGCCTGTGAACTTGACTGAGTCATGATAGGGATCCTGTCCCAAGATGACAACCTTTGTATCTCTTACGATGGGTCCATGTGAAGACTTGTATAAACAGTATAATGTTTTATTTCTTCTGCAACAAATCCCATTAGATTTATAAAATATGGTTTCCCAACTCTCCACTGAGGTACTTTCTCCAACTCTCAGCAAAGTGGACATGTTACAGGCAGTGAGTCTGAGCAGGGCCGTAGCCTTGGGACAGTAGGACTTACACCTAGTATTAATGCTGCTTCCTCTTTTGTCATTTTGGGTTCAAACCCACCTCTGTAATAACTACCACTAAAGGCAGAATTTGGTAGACTCTAAAAAGCGTCCATAGGCTGTATGGTTTTAAAATATAAAGGCTCACAAGTCCTACAGAGGAAATGTCAGTCCAGCTGTAGCCACTGTAGTGGCAGTGGCTTCATCTCAGTCCCCCTGGTTCATCTCAGCCCAGAGACCACAGCCCCCAACTCTATCCAGGCACTCAGCAGAAAGCAACCCAGCTTTCTGGTGGTATGGACCACTCAACCACAGGTACCCTAGCTCCTGTCTGCATCTTCTACATTGATTTGAGATGACTTAGTTAATCTGTGTATTCATTTCAGATTGTCAGAAATAAGAGTCAGTGTGCAAAAAGGTTGACTTAAGTACTTTATTAAAAGAAATTATCTTCAATGGGTGCTGGTGGCTCAGGTCTGTAATCCTAGCTACTTAGGAGGCAGAGATCAGGAGTACTGCTGTTCAAAGCCAACCAGGGCAAATGGTTCAGGAGACCCTATCTTGAAAATATCCATCACAAAAATGGGCTGGTGGCGTGGCTCAGGGTGTAGTCCCTTAGTTCAAACCCCAGTACTGAAAAAAAAAGAAAGAAATTACCTTAAGAGGATGTTGTCTAATTAAGTACAAATCACTAAATAAGAGGACACCATTTTAAAGATCAGAGAAAACTAATAAATAATAAATATCAAAGAGAATTAATAAATACCAGGAAACATGCTAAGAATCTCATTGAGTCTATACTTACTATCAGCTTCTCAGGATGGTATTATTGGATCTATTTCATAGAAGAGGAAGCTAAAACTTAGAAAGTTAAGCAAATAAAGCTGGCAGAATTGAGACATGAACACTTGTCCTCATGATTCTAGCATCCTTTGTAGAGTTCTTCTACCTTCCTACCTTCTGGCCAGTTGAGTCCCAGGACCAGGAATGGGCTGTAGCTTCTCCTTAAGAATCTTCAAAAAAAAGTACGTGCAGCATTTGCAACCCAGTGAATTTAAATCTTCACCTGTGGTTTTTAAAACTGCTTAGTCAAAAGTCATATTAAGGGTTGGGGATGTAGCTCAGTAGTAGAATGTTTGCCTCCTATGCACAAGGCCCTAGATTCCATCCCCAGAACTGAAATTCTAAAAAATTCTATTACGTAAAGACCAACCTATTTTAGATACCTTGTTCAATTATGTGAAAAGGACTCTATTAAGGCTAGTACTAGTACCCTGTGGCCCAGCCCTTCTAAATTCCTACACATTATCAGTTCTTCTCTTAGAATATTGAGTATTTCTTCAGTTATTCAGCCACTTACTCTATCCTGTGTCATAGATCAACCATAAGACAAAAATACAGTCCTGCTCTTGGAAAAGGCATTATTCCATCTGATACGACAACTAACAAATATTTAAAACTCCTAGATCATGTTTAGTGGAGAGAAATAAAGTGGCTACAGGAAAGGAGACTAACAGGAGAGACTAACTATAGAAAATGAGTCTGAAAAGGTCCATAAGAAATGCTGAGTGTAAGAAGGTGACAGCCATGTCCACATGAAGGGAGATGATATTCACAGCTGACAGAAACAAGTGCAAGGTCCCTGAATGAGAAAGGATTTCAGGTACTTTTGGAACTTTCAAAAGGATGGTTTGACTAGAGATCATTGTTTTTGTTTTAAAGCTATGTCTTTTACGCATTATAGGCTCTAGTCAGGAGGTTTAAGCCAGGGAGTGATGAAATCTGCTTTATATTTTGAAAGATCATATGACCACTGACTAAAGAATGGATTTGAAGGTTAAGTGTAGAAATAGGCAGAAAAAGGGGCGCAGAAGAAATGGAAAGAAGTGGATAGATTTGAAGTATATTGTCAAAATTTAACTGACATTTACTTGAGTGAGCTATTTGTGTACATTTTCTGTTTCTCTGACTGGCCTCTACATCAGGCAGCTTGTCTTCTTCATCTTTGCATTTTTTTACTCCTCTTCTAGTAGTTCTATTGAAAACAGGTCTCTCTAATGTCCTTCCTGCACCAGCTTTTGCATCTATCAACAAAAGTGTTTCCTTCCCAGCAGGAAGTGGGTATTTGTCACTGGTTGTGGGACCATTCACATTGACTACTCTGTCATAGTCACACAAGTTGTGGAATATTCTAATTATTTTAAATTTAGTGTTTGTATCTCATTAAAAATTTATTGGTTGACATATTTCAGAAATAAATATGCTTAATAATACCACCTCACTTAATTTAAACCTGTCATCTAGAAAAAAAAAAGACTTTCATTGAGAAAGCATAAAGTCATCAGTCAAGGGTCTTTTTCTAATTCCTCATTAGCATTTTCAAAACTAATGATTGTCTACAAGCTTTTCCTTTGCATAATGTGGTTAGAGCTACCAAAGAGAGAGAACTGTTAATAACTGATCTAATATTTATAATAGTTATTGTAACTGAATGTGCAGACCATTTTTAGCAAGAAAAGCATTGACAATATTAAAGAAGTTACACAACCCAATAATGTTTACACATATGTAGACAAATATCCTAAATAAAGATGAATATCAAATGATATAGCCATGATTTGTAGTTTGAAAGTTGAAAAAATGACAGAAATAACTTTTGAAGAATCATACGAGATAAACCTCACCATTTTAAACTTATTTGCTTTGATTTCAGAATTACCATTTCTGAAGATGGAAACCTCAGAATTGTCAACGTGACTAAATCAGATGCTGGAAGTTACACCTGTATAGCCACTAACCATTTTGGAACTGCTAGCAGTACTGGAAACTTGGTAGTGAAAGGTAATGGCTTACTTAAAAAAAACTCATAGATTAATATGTGTGTCCTCACTTCTCATAATGTCATCTATAGATGTGACATCATTCATATTAATATGTACAGGTATCACTGAGTTGCTAAATTAATTCATCATGGCAAGCATGATATGATTAATAATTCTTTGAGAACTGCTGGTAAGGAATATGATTGAAAGGCTATCTTATTTCAGGATCATCCAATACAATTTTGAGAATTACAGCCATTGTATCTATTATACTATTGTAACTAATGTTATCTTCAGTCCTTTAATTAAATTTCTTTCAAGTCTCTATAGATTTGAAATTCATGTCTAGGAACCCTGTGCTAACAAATTAAAAACCCATGACTCAAATACTATTTTTAGCAAACATTGTTTAAACAATGATATTGGCCATTTTTAAAAGAGCTGCCAGTTATTCAGAGATATGGATATGGCGTCTTATATTAATGAAGGGTTTTGATTTTCTCTGTTTGCTTGAGTCACCCAGCCAACCCTGTCAGTTTTAAGGAAATAAAATTTTCCTCAAACCTTAGTCTGTGTGCTTTCTATTTCATGACAAAAAGTCCTTTATGCTCTTAGCACAGAACACGGGATGAAACTGTCCCCACACCAACCTGAAGGCATGGCCGAAAGTGCTGAGAATTGTGAAAGATGAGGTCTTAATTTACATTTCATTTGCATTTCTATCACCTCATATCTTGCCCAGTCAAGGAATTTTTGAGTTGAAGGGATCTCTGTGCTGCCTTACTAAAGAAGAAGATGTTACTTAGGTTGGTGTTTTGCTGGAGTTCACCACTATTAGAAGACTTCAACCCATGACTCCTGACTCCAGGTTCTCCCTAGTTATTTATGCTGCACAAGCAAATTTTAAAACTATTTTTCCTATTGCAATGCAATACATACTGATAGATCATATCATACTATTTCTGTCTAGCCCATTCATAGATTCCCTATGAAGTAAGAAAGCTTAAGACAAATAAAAACATTCAAGGAGAATATTTACCTCAATTAAGATTTAAGCAAAGCAGCTAAAAATTGCCTAAATGTATATTTCAAGGTCATTGGAAGTTGGAAATTTACTACCAGTGAGAAGTCTTTTTATAGTGAACATTCTTATCTATGCAAATAAAAAAATTGGAAGTCAAAGAGTAGAAGTAACTCCGTATTTAGATAGACTCCAACCATTTCAGTTTATTAATTATTCCCTCAGAGACGTAGCATTGGCGTCCGACAATGTGTTCACTCTGTTTCACAGAGTGAAGGAAAAAGAGCTTAGACAATGTTTGTAAAACAGAGTCCCAGCTGGAGGTCTCTGGTAATACTGGCTATCTCAGCTGCCAAAGGAAATACAGTGATTGACTAGGATCAAGAGAGATCCCAAGGTTTCAGAGATGCTTAGTGGCAGAGCTGGGACCTGTTAGAGATGATTTGCCAGTTATGGAGATATAAGAGAACACTAGGAAGCTATCTTATATTGTGATTAAGGGTCAGGGATTAGAGCCAGAGAGGTCTGGTTTAAATCTCATTTCTCCCACTAAGCATCTCTGTGACCTTAGACAGGATAATTAGCCTTTGTGAGAATAATAGCTTTGCTGACCTCATAGGGTAATTTTGGTGACTGAAATAATGTGTTCAGTAATAAGCATGGTCCCTGATACCTGGAAAATATTAGTAGTTGTTATTGTTATTGTCATAATTATGAAGTGGCTATGCATGCATTCTAAGTCATATTGAACATTTGTCAAGTTTCTCTATCACTAGAATAATTAGCAAAAGACAAGTGAGGCTACAAAGAACTAAGAGTAGGAGAGGTTATAAACACATAAACATATTTATGCCCTTCTAGATGGTTAAAAGTTGGGATTTTCACATAGAGGAAAAAGTTATACCCTGTATTTGATTATCATGCTTCTTATAAGCATTGGTTTCCTTGGCTCTCTAGAGAGTGAGCCTAAAGGAAAGACCTCAATTTTCCCTTCCAAGTTCATATCCCAGTGAGCCACTGCCCCAGGACAAAAGCATTCCCAATCAGTTGTGCAGTTTCCTGCCCCTATGATGTACTAAATCATGCCACAAAGCTTACAAATATACCAGGGATGAAATATGTCATGGTCACCATTTTTTTGTGTGTAGATATAAATATTGCTGAGATAATAACTTTTTGCCTATTTTAACAAACTAAATAATTTATTTCTTGCCTTCTAGTAAAATGTGAACAGTAATTCCTCACACACAGTCTAATGGTAGTTTTAGGTACTTCACAGTTGAATCTTTTTTTTTTTAATTTTAGTAACTGTTTCTTTCTTTCAATATTTATTAGGAAAATGCTAGCTTTCCTTGCATGGAAATGATTTTACAAACTTTAAAAATACATGTAATTAAAGAAAAACAGTCAATATGCAGATAAGTATTAAGTATGTACTGTTACAAGAGGTTATGAAAAAATGGTAAAGATGATATGTGAGTAACTAAAAATAGGAAATACAATATAAGGACAATTTTCAGAAATTTAGTGGACCTATGGAAAGGACTTAGAGAAACCTGTGACAGAGTCAGGGTATCCTGTCTATGCTGAACTCAGGTTTTGTTGAGGTACATGGAACACTTTAAAAACTGAAATTTCAAGAAAGATGCAAGAAAAGGGAAGGCCTGGGACAGGAAGAGCCTAGCGGAGCTTGAACAGAGGAGGTAGAGATGTGTACGTCTGAGCTGTGAGGTCAAGGTATGTATGCTGGGCCAGGGCCACACAGAATACATTTTTTTTCTGTGCTCTTTCTTGGTTTGGCCACAGATGCTCAGCTGCAGTCAGCTTCTCCACAGAGGTCCTCTGATTCTTGTACTGCTCTATGTAAGATAGGAGTGGAAAAGAAATATGAGCATTGTCTGGTCAGTTTGTTCACAGATGCTAACAATCTTGTTACTTTGAGTAAGGTCAGAAGAGATTTGGGTGAGCATTCATCTCCCAGTGCTTGGTTCTGACTCACATTAGCATTAATGGAAAGTGTGTGTGTGTGTGCAGTGGGAACAGCCACATTGCTGGGTCCCTGAGAAGGACATTAACATAAACTGAGAAATACAATTGAGAAATCTGCCCCATAAAGCAGGATAAAGGCAGATAAAACCATTCTGAGCTCCACATGAACTGTGCCAAGAACTGAATCGCCAGCAAAATGTTTAAGCCCTCCACCTTTAATGCAAATGTAACAGTTTAGCTCAAAATATGATTGAGTGTTGTATTTTAATTCAATTTTGAGATCTACAAAGGGACTAACCTTAAAATATGCTTGTATTCATTTTGATCTCATGTGTCTGGGATTAGAACTCCAGGAAGGTCAGACATCATGACATATCTTTTCTAACCTTTTTACAGTAATTCTATCATTAACCATGCTTTTAAAACCCCATTCTCTTCCTCACTCCTGCCCCTGTGTTTTCAAGAGAGTCTGAAGATAGTCCCAGTGTCAGGAAGTAGGAGAGGGGAAGGAGGGGGCAAATCCTCTTTGCATGGGAGATGCAGGAGGTTTAAGGTAAATCTCTGGCAAGTAACCATGGAATGGATAAATACTCAGATTATGTGTGAGCAGGCTTCCAAACTGCAGAATTCTGACACATGCCTGGGGGCTCTTGATTATCTTCCCGTCATCTGAATTTCTAAATTTTACTGATTTTATTTTTCAAGCTAGTGATTAGTATATTTGGAATTTGGTTTGCTGTTTAATTCTAAGCAGGAACAGTTCTCAAGTCAGATCCCCAAATTCTAATGAAGAGCATTAGATTTTACCTTCAAACAGTGATAGGCTTTACCAATTGTGGATATCATTAACAACTATAAGGAGGACAGACTGCTTTTACATGCGGTATTGGGCTTACTAATTCATTTTTATCTCTATGGCAGAGTTAAAGTCGTGCTGCTTTGCATGATACCATGTCTTGGCTGTCAAGGTTTTATGACGGAAGATATTTTCAACTAGCAAGCCTAGAGAAGAGGAACTCATAGAGTATTTGTCTTGGGTGTAGATCAACAAGATAACCATGGTAATAGGAAACCTATCTTCTATTGATCACCTCCAGGGCTCAAAATGAAATGCAAGGCTTTAAGCTATGGGTGTGATTACCATGGTTCTCATGCTGAAATACCTCCAAAGTGACCTTGTGGAACTCGGTAGCTGGAGGCTTCAGACTCTGTCCTATGCCAAACACTGTCCTATGCCAAAGAACTTTATGACACCTAACAAGTGAAAGTCACTACAATGCTAAATAGGAATGCAGATTTCCTGGTCTTCCCTCCAACTTAATACAGCTACAGAGTCAGAGATGAGGCTTAAAAACAATTACATTGTACACACACCACAGTGGATTCTTAAGTCCAACAAAGTTAAGAACCTTGAATTCTCAGGAATTAGCCTGTGAGTCATATCCAACCAGCTGCCCGTTTTTGTATACCCCAAGAGCTACGAATGGCTTTCACATGTTTAACTAGTTGGAGAAAAAAATCAAAAGAACAATAATATTTTTGAACATGTGGAAATTTTATTAAATTGATATTTCACTGTCCGTAAATAAAGTTTGGTTGGAGCCAAGCCATGTCACTTGTTTCCCTATTGACTATGATTGCTTTTGCACTATTACAGCAAAGTAGAGTCATTACAACAGACTATATAAATCATAAGTCCCTAGATAATATCCTTATCCTTACTTCTTCACCTATAAAGCTTTAAATCTATACTATTCATCCCTTTACATAAAAAGTACTGGATTGTTGTTATTGTTGCTGCATACTGGGGTTTGAATTCAGGGCCTTGAGCTTACTAGGCAGGAACTCTACCACTTGAGACACATTCCCAGCCTTAGCTATTTTTTTTAATAGAATCTCAAATTTATACCTGAGGCCAGCCTGGACTGCAATCCTATTTATGCTCCCCATGTTACTGAGATGACAGGCACACCATGGCACCTAGCTTTGGTTTGTTGAGATTGGGGTCT